CGGGAGCCTGGACCTCTGGTGGCGGCGGCCCCGGCTGGGGGGCCTTGGGGCGGGTGGTCACCCCGGATGCCCTTCGCGGGCAGCACGTGGAGCCTTTGCTGGGGAAATGGGCTCTGACCCACTTCATGGGCCCGCCCCGTCCACAGTGAGTGGCAGGAGGCGTCCTGCTGCTGGGGGCTCTGTGTTGGGAATGCGCTGTGGGTGTTAGCGCGGCGTCTGGCGGCGTCTGATAAACGCGTATGAAGACTCCTCCTGCGGCTGACGTCCTGTCTCCAGCAGAGCAGACCCAACAGCAATAAAAACGCAGGTGCCGCCCTGACCGGTGTTGCTCAGTGGATAGAGCGTCGGCCTGCGGACTGAAGGGTCCCAGGTTCAATTCTGGTCAAGGGCACGTACCTTGGTTGCGGGCACATCCCCAGTAGGGGGTGTGCAGGCAGCTGATCGGATGTTTCTAACTCTCTATACCTCTTCCTCTCTGTAAAAAATCAATAAAATACATTTTTAAAAAAACGCAGGTGCCCTGCCCCGCACGGCTGTCTGAGAGGAACCGCTGTCAGTCCTCTTTCATAAGAGCGAGCTCCGTCCCTCGTAGGGAACCTGGGATGGTCGGGAAGCGCCCGTCAGCCAGACGCGCTAGGCGGGCTCTGGTGGGACAGGTGACGCTGACATGCGGTGGTGCCAACAGCAGGTCATCGCCGGTGCTCAGGGCATCTGTCAGCCGGGCAGGGACCTGGTGCTCAGGGCCTCGGTCAGCCGGGCAGGGACTCGTCGGAGGGATTCAGAGCTGGGGCTGGAGGAGGAGGAGGCGAAGGCGCGCTCACTCAGAGTCTGGTCGCTGGTACTCGCAGCTGGCGAGGCCCCCAGCGGGGCAGCTGCCACACACCGGGCTTTAGGCAGTAAGTTTGGGCCCCGGCCAGGTGCTCAGTTGGTTAGAGTATTGTCCCTCTCAGCCAAGGTGTGGGTTCAATTCCCGGTCAGGGCACAAACCAGAATCAACCAGTGAGTGAATGAACATGTGGAACAATTCGGTGACTCTCTCTCAAATCAATAAATAAAAACAAAAAGTAGGTTCTATCACTAGTCAGGTAGGTGAGGCCAACAGATTACGAGACGACGGCCATTGGCTTTTTTTTGCTACTCACAGTTCCCAAAGAAGGGCCACTTGGGGAAGCACTGTGGGGGGGAGGGGGGGGCAGGAGGTGGGGCAGCCGGGGAAGACGTGGACAAGAGCCTTTACTGGGGTTTCTGTGGGATGGGACAGGTGAGCAGGGCGAGCAGGCTTAGGGCTGGCTGGTTTGGGTAATTTCAAGGTCTCTGGGGCACAGGGGGTGTTCCTAGCTTTGTGGTACCTGGTTCTGGGGTGACGAGGGCAGGGGATGGCTGCTGGAGTAGGAGCGCCTGATGGAGGAGGTGGGGGATGGTCTCCAGGTCGGTAGGTTTGCATCTGAGAGGGGAGCTCACGGGTGAGCTGTTCACAATCTCCAGGGATGGGCAGCCCTGGGAGGGGCAGTCTCTCCAGGCTCAGTAGGGCCCCGAGGACGCACATCAGAAGAAAAGACACGCTTAACCCACACCCACAAGTGACTTCCCCACGTGGCCGGGGCTTCCTTACAACATGGCCGCTGGTCCCAAGAGAAAGAGAGAGCCAGGCGGGACACACAGAAGTCATGCATCGTCACGTCTGACACACAGTAGGCCCTCGGGTTATGTCCGAGATCCATTCCCACGACGACGTAACACGATTTTCACCGTAAGTTGGAACCCACCTGCATAAGCACTTATGTCACTCACATGGAGCACAGACTCAGCAGCAATGAAGTGAAACAGTAAAAAAAATTAAAAGAAAGATAACAATTCCTGACCTTGTGGTCAATAAACAATAAAAAAACAAAGCACATATGTACAGACGTCAAAATGACGGAACTTTTTTTTATAAATAAATGGGAGATGGCGACGTAACCATAAAACGACGAGTCCAACGTAACCCGAGGACTGTCTGTACGTATTCTGTTGCTCAACTCAGCCCCAAGGTCCTCCCCAGGCCCCGGGGGGAGGTGCAGAGCTCCCACTAGCCGAGCGAGGAGGCCCAGTGCAGCGAGAGAGCGGGGGTAGGGGGGTGGGGGGGGTGGAACTCGGGTGGAGGCGGATATCTTTGGAAATTGTCATCTGCCGCAAACTCCGTCCCCGAGAAAGAATCCGTCAGTGTCCCTCCTGATGCTGCTCGCACACCTTTTGAAGGTGATTTTACCAAAGAGAGGCGATCGGTCATTAATGAAAGGCTGTAACCTTAGGCAAGTGCTTCAGCCCCTCTCGGCTCAGGTTAAGTTGGGGTTCTCACCCATTCTTTTCCTTGGGAGCCCGAAGGAAGGTCTCTGGCCGGACCACGCTCTTTCACCCCAAATCTGAAAAGTGCGGCAGCTCGTCCCAGGCAAACCGCCTGCACCTGCCCCCAGGCCCCCCTTTCTCTGACTTCTTAGTGAGCAAGGCAGCCCGGCCTCGGCTCATCTCCCCACTCGCCCCTCTCCTCGTATCCTGGGCCCTTCCTTGTTTCACGGTCCCCAGATGTCCTCTAAGATTTAGAAAGAAAGAGAAGGA